AAAATTAAAAAAAATTAAAGCGGCGGAGGCAGGAGGGGAGCTGGGTGGCGGGGACCGGCCGGGCTGCGGGGGGCTGCTCCAGGGTGCCGGCGGGTGTGTGCGAGAGAGCGTGTATGTGCGCGCTGCCAGCTCTGCATTGCCAGCCCCTCCTCGTCTCTAATTCAGTGGCGGCCGGAGGGAAAGCCCCAGCCGGGAGGAGAGATTGCCGCGCTGCCAATCATGGGCGAGGAGGATCGCTTCTGCCACCTCCAGCACGCATCTCCCACACAACCTCCCGCACGCCCCAAAGGCCCTCGCAACACCCCTAACGCCTCCCCTAGACCCCTCGCGCCCCCTCTACATACCCCACCCGCACCTCACACCACCAACACACCTCACACACCTTTCACACCACCACTCCCGACAGAGTTCCCCCCCCCATTTACACCCGTACACTACACACCAGCCCGAGTTCAGCACCCACAGCAGCCCCTCCATACCCCCAGCCTGCCCCAATCGCTCCAGCTCTTCTTCCCATGGGGCTGGGGAGGGAACCCCGAGTGGAGCCAGACACCCGCCCCCCACAGAGCAGGAGCTGATATGCAGGTGACTGTAGGGGCAGGAGGGCTAAGCGCTTTGGTAAAGCCCACACAGCCAGGGCCAGCACCCCGGGTGGCTTCTCTTTTGGGCCCAGCAAACACAAAGTGGCTGGGAGTGCCCACAGCACACCTGTATCTAGCTTGCACCCTGCACCAGCCACTCATGGGGCAATCAGCAACATGTTGCCACCCTCTTTTTTGCAGAAGCCAAAGCCCAGGGAGGTGGTCAGGCAGACCTAGGACAAAGTCAAGGGAAAGCCTCAGGCCCAGGGCCCCCCACTCTGCTCGGAGCACTAGCCCACACTGCCAAGCAGCTCAGCTGTGCAGGGACATGCAGGAGTCCTGGCTCCCTGAGCAGTCCCCAAACATGAGTTTGCAGGGAAATCACTGGCAGGAAAGCACATAGGCATGCCCTGTGATGAGTCAGCCAAGGACAGGAAGCATTCAGGGTGCTGGTGGGATTTCAGAGGTGGCAGCACCTAAGAGCATGGGAACTCAGCTCTGTAAAAAATAATCTGCCATCTCCAAAACTCCAAGTGGAAATGAACAGTATACAATAGGCAAGTTTATGTCAAGGTATAGTTTAGCTTGTTCCTACAGATCTGTTTGTTAATTTGTCATGCCAAAGGTTAATCCTTTGATGGATCCCTGAACAGTTCCCTGGGAAAGACTCGGAGCACAGAAAGCATGGAAAGTTAGTACTGCCTTTAAAACAAACAAAATTATAGATTTACTGTAATCTATTCAAGAAATGGTCAAATGGAGTACAGAACTTAAATTAATCTGGGAAAACAAAGGAAAACAGCAAAGATCACGAGTGAGACTCTTCCATTATCCTGAAATGCTTTAGAAAATGACAGAAGAGCTCACTGCATGATTGTGAATCCAAATGAGCATTGGTTTGTCATGAGAAATTATTGATTTCCTTCCTCTGGAAAAAGAAAATCCCTATTCAAACAGAAGGGAAATGGTAACTTGGAGCCTGATCTAAAGCCCATTTAAATCAACAGAAGTGCTGTAAATGAATGACTGATGTTGAAAAAAATCAAACACAAGGGAAAGGTAAAACATTAGAAACAGCACAGTAGAGAAGGAAAACATCTTTGCAGCCTCATTAAGAGACTGTGCCAATACAATTCAGCTTCTAGTTGCCTGTTCTAAGCATAGACAGTTATTAAAAACAACTTTATATGTTATTTCTTTAAGCTAAGTTATGTGTTTTCATCAATATTCAGCAACACCTCTCCTTACAATATCTTTCTGCATATTAAAGCAGATCCTGCTGCATGACATGTTTCCAGGTGACTTGGGGCCCATGAGACTCTCAGGTCAGTAATACCTGCTGGTGCCTGCTCAACAGCTGATGGAGGCCCTACTGGTTTCCATCCACAGCTGTTTCTCAGGATCAGAACTAAAGGAAAATAAAAAAGCAGGGGAAAGGGATTTTCTCTACTTTAAATTCCTGTCTATGAAAATATATATATGCCTTTCTTCCCCCAGAGGTCTTCCCTTGGTTGACATGCATCTTTCCATTTTGTTGCCAGTCCATAGAAGGAGGAACATCAATTACAAAGGCAATGGAGCAGCCCTCCTGGCTCCCTCAAATCAGCAAGACAAGATCCTGCACACAATCAGAAACCAGGACCATATGACAGGTCTGGGTGAGGAGTGTGACAATCATTTACTGCATATCTTCTGACATCCCTAACTGCCGGCTGACATTACCACTCTGCAAGTTGGTGCCACTGAAGAACTATATGGCAGGGACATTGCAATGCTGAGGAGAGAGCACCAACTGGCTCTAGCTTGTAAACTCTACAATACAGAGCTTTGATGGTTTTGTCTAGGTGATGATTTTAAAAAAAAAAGAGAGATTACATTGGGGTTAAAATAACAACAAGAAGCAAAAACTCAGTTCAAAGAGGCCATGTAAAGAAAAATGGTGATTAGGAGTTGATGATTATAAAAGTTTAAGACCAGACTAGACCACTGGGATTTCTAACCTAGCGCTTTATGTAAGCTGTAGTGTTTATCTGTATTAATTCTTGCTTCTGGTTCATAGTCCTTTTTTTTCTTAGTGTACCAATCTTGAGTTAAGAATCAAGGCTGATCTATTACAGCTATTGTGGAACGTTCCAATGATTGCTTATAGCCATTTGTAAAAAACTGTAACTCTGCCTGTCTTTAAAATACTGATTGGTTCTGCATTGACTTCTCAGTGTTGTTTTTATTACAAATTTGTCCATAGAACTACTGAACTTTTATTGAACTCTTCCTCCCCAGATGGTAGCTTTAAGGTTGTGATGGAAAAGACAACTAGATAGCACTCTTTGAGTCTCTGTGTAAGGCATATTTTCCATCCCTACAACCATTCCCATTAAATCTTTTTATTCCTTGAATTGTGAACCATAGCTGCATCAGATATTTTTTCAGCAGAGGTCAGGCCAGTGCTAAATCAATGTTATATCACATTTCTTTTCTTACTGGGTACCCAGTGTTTCACCAGCCAAGGATTTCATTCAGTCTCCTTACCAATGAGTCTCCCTGCAATGCAGCAGAGTAGCCATGCTGACTTGTACACCTCATCTCCCTCAAGCCCTCTCCAGGACTGCTGCTCTCTAGGGCAGGTTATTATATCCAGCATGGCCAATGATCTTTGCACTATGTATATATTATCCTACTTTATTGAAATACACATCATTTTCATGCAGCTTTCCAAACAATCCAGATCACTCAGCAGTCCTCTCATAGTTTACAACTTCCTTTTTTAACCTACTCACTTCATCAGTAATGAATTTACATTGATGTGCTGGATTTAGCAAGATCTTACAGAGATCATTTCTTGGCCCCAGTCCTCCGGAACCTCTGCAGAAACAAATCAACTTCAGCAATGATTCCCACTTTGTAATCATGCTTAAGAATCTAGCATTTAATTAGTTTTTAGTCTGTTTCATAAAGGCCATCTTGATTTTGTATCCAATTTATTCATTGACATGTCATGCGATATCATGAGTCTCCTGGACACAAGCAATGTCATAGACATGATGGATCAAAAAACCTGTTTGTTTTTTTTTTTCAACTTCATCAGTTGGTCCAGTAAAAGTGACTAAGGTTCCCCATAAATTTTGACTCATCTAACAGAATGCAAGTAAACAACACTACTAGTTTTACCAATCAAAACTACAACAGTGTTTAAAAAGTGATATAACACTCGTTTAACAACTCCAGTTCCCAAGTGGATTACTGACTACATTTTTAAACAACCATTAAATTACTACAATTATTTTACAAATAGTTGGCATTAAGTAGGAGGTCAACAAAGTACTAACATACATAGGAGATGTTTCTTTCCCTGGCGATCGCACAGGATGGTACCATGCCAAGAGACCAGTATGTCAGAGGAAGTTGTAAGAACTCAGGTCTTCACTGTGGAAGTCAACCAAGTCCTACTTACAAGATTTACATTGCTTTCATCTTTAATTGTTCATCCTAGCAGATGTGCGAGCTGGAAACAGAATATTGCAGTCGTCAAATTTCACGTTACGAGAGAGTGAAACATAGGAACATCCCTCTGCAAATGTCTGAGTCTCTCTTAAACCTATCTTTCTGAAGCTGTGAAATGAGCATACAACCATGCTTTAAGTGGACTCTGGAGCAGTCTCGAAGATAATACCTACATTTGAAGCAACAGAAATGGGACTAAAAAGGCATGGGAAGAGATTTCAAAAGAAGAGAATTGGATGCATAGTTAAAAAGCTCACAGTTGAAATAAAGTGAAACAGTATTGTTTGACAGTCTTGTTTAGAAGTTACTAGGACAGGGAATGAACAAACCTATATGAAGAAAAACAAGAATTAGAGCCTTATATTCTCTGCATGTCAAGAACACCAGGGAACCTGTGTAATTGAATGTACAGTATGAAAAGAATAGAGTGAAATGCTTTCAGGAACTGCCACAGCAGTTGAGTGGACCAACTCACTGCTATGAGTTGGCCCTCTTCAGCTACGGGATAAAAGTCACTTCAGAAAGATTCCAGAACAAGCACTCTAAAGGTACATGTATTTATCAGCCTTGCTTGTGGATCATCTTATGACAGTATATAAGAACAAGCTTTCAACTGGTTTGTTTTGATACTGAGCAGCACAAGTATGAGGAAAGCAAAGCAGAAACCACAGTAAATTAATTCAGAGAGAGCACAGCTACATTGCTCCACTTTGGGCTGGTTGCCAAATAAGCCGTGAGTGTCTTAAAGGGGGGTTTCATAAAACACATCTGGGCCATTTGAGCACAACAGTGAAAAGATGGATGTATGAGTTACTGTAGCAAACTGATGAAGCCAAATAAAACCAGTGTTTCTGTGCAGAGGTTCTAGATTAAAGAGCTTGGGATACAG